AGCTGTTTTTAGGTTTTTTGTTGTTTAGAAGAAGCCTTAAATTATGGAACTGTGTGGCGAATGTTCGGTATGTTTTTTCGCCATGGATTTGAATAATATGTCGTTGCTTCCTTGTGGTCATACATTTCACTACGATTGCTTGCACAAATGTATTGATGTAAGTAAGACATTGATTAAAAGTAAATTTTTTATGTTTTCTCTTCGGTTTTAGAGCTTATTTTTTTTTCTTGGAGGGGGGAGGGGGTAATTAGTTGCAGTAATAACTTACCGGGCTTATGGTTTTGTAGATTCTTCTTTTCTCTTTGTGCTTTTGAACAGGTTTACTCTTTAATGCTGTTTTCAGTTGTCTGGTTTCTGCCCAAAGTGCAGGAGACCATCAACTTTAAAAGATATCATCCGGAAAGTTTATATCGAAAGGAAAGAACCGAAGATGACCAGTGAAAACGTCCTCTCGAGTCTCAGCCCGATAGTAATGGAACTTAAAAACCGTGTATGGCTTTTTTATTTTGTACGCTTAATTGCTTTTTTTTAATTTCAACTCATTGTTTAAAGAAGGTCTTTCCAACATTAAGAATCCTAAGTTTTTTAATTAAGCTCACACTCATATTCTTTAGCTCATTTCTACCACGCTCACTCTAAACAATATGAAAGCTTTACATCAAGTTGCACAAGAAGACCTTATGTTCACTCGAGATCAAGTTCGATACATGGACGGTTTGGTTAGCTTATATCTTCTTTCATGACTTTCTTTTAATTTTTCCAAAGAGAATATGTCTGACGTTTTATATCCAAAACACCATTAGCGTTGTGAACAGTCCGAAAATTTCAGTTTTTTGGTTCCGATGAAATACAGAGGGAAAAGTTGTCGGGATCTCCGCCTGGTAGTTCTAAGAGATTAACTTCTTTGACATATAAGAGTAAACTCGCCATTTATACTCTTTCCCTATGTCCTGGTTCTCTCCCAAATGGCCTTTTGTTTCATGTCAAGCGTTATAGGCTATAATTTACATTACGAAGGAGGATGAAATTCTCATGCTTTTGCTTACTTTTTTTTAGACTTACTTTTTTAATTTTCTGGGGTGATTTTCTCAAATAACATTGGCTCAAACATTTGTAGTGTTATAGTACTAATTGCATTTTATCGTCCGTCAACTTTAGTATAAGGCAATGAAGAGGGAACGTGACGAACTGATGATCAGTTATAGAAATCTTATGGAACGTTTTTGCGAGATGGAAAGCAAATTTTTGTATGAACGTTATGGCACACAGCCAGAAACCAGTAATGATCCGGTAAAGCTGCTTAGCAATTTTTTTAGGTTGCGTTAGAGAGTAGATTTTATTTCCCAAGGTGATAACACTTCAATCAGTCATTCAGATGCTACGTATTTCCGGGAAAGAAGGATTTCCAAACGTTTCCCCTGCTGGAAGTGCCTGTGTTCCAAGCATCAATGTTTTTTATACATCAGGCAGATAATCTTTCTAAATTTTTATTGTCAATTTCAGCCAACAGTATTAACTTTTTTTTATTGCTGTACTGCATTCGACTCATAATTGCTGTAAACTTTTAGTCACGTGAGTAATACTTGGCTTTGTCTTACTGACTCTTAGAAAAAACTATGATTTTTATTATCATTCAAAACACTGTTCTTTTTAGTAAGCATTTTATAGTAAACTATCTTTTTAAGAAATCAGATACACCTGTTCAGGAAAACTGATGAAGAATTTTTGTAGTTTACTGTTTTTGTTTTGGATGCAGATTCGTCTAAGTTGTGGGTATCTTAAGAATAGGCTGTTGATTATTAATTCTTCCTAAAGCTCACTGCATCTCTTACGGTTTTAGTCCTGATATTGACTTGGTAATGACAGACTTTTCAGTTATGAAGTTTACGTG